TCTGCTCTAGGGCTCAGTCAGAGCAAAGATATGCAGGCTGAGTCCCCACCTGCCCTGAGACTGTCCCACCAGAGTGGTGCATGCCCTGGTAATGTCTACTGCAATGTGCTCTACGTGGGGCTACCTTTGAAGGTGACTCGGAAACTACAACTAATCCAGAATGCGGCAACTAGACTGGTGACTGGGAGTGGCTGCAGGGACAGTATAACACTGGTCCTAAAGGATCTTCACTGGCTCCCAGTACGTTTCTGAGCACAATTCAAAGTGTTGGTGCTGACCTTTAAAGCCCTAAACGGTCTCGGCCCAGTATACCCGAAGGAGCGTCTCCACCCCCATCGTTCAGCCCAGACACTGAGGTCCAGCTCCAAGGGTCTTCTACTTGTTCCCTCACTGTGAGAAGTGAAGTTACAAGGAACTAGGCAGAGGGCCTTCTCGGTAGTGGCACCCCTCCCGTGGAATGTCCTCCCTTCAGATGTCAAGGAAATAAACAATTATCTGACTTTTAGAAGACACCTGAAGGCTGCCCTGTATAGGGAAGTTTTTAAGAATTGATGTTTTTATTATGTTTTTAGATAGGTTGTAAGCCACCCAAGAGTGGCTGGGGAAACCCAGCCAGATGGGTGGGGTAACAACAACAATGACAACAGGCAATTCAGGTTTTCTCTGGATTGTTGTGTGCTCTGATATAGCACTAAAGGGCCAGTTTAACCTGGAAAAGGAGCAGAGCAATGGGAAAACCGCTCTGACCTATGCCTAGAATGTGTGGATCAAGTGGAAAGCCACTTGGACTTCTGCTTTCTAGGCCTGGGGCAAGCGGAAGTGTGGATGAGCTTTGAGTCTCAATCCAAAATGACCTCTTATTGCAAAAGCTGAAATCTGGCAGCCCTGGACGTGATTCGGAAAAGGGCAACGAGAAAGATCGAAGGGGATGGAGCAGCCTCCCCTTTGAGGAAAGGTATCTGGGGCTTTTCAGTTTAGAGAGAAGACAAGTAAGAGGTGACATGATAATCACGTATAAAAGAATGCATAGGGTGGAGAAAGAGGCTAGGGGAAAAAATTTCTGCCTCTGTCTTAACTTGTGGACATCCAATGAAGCTGAATGTTGGAAGATTTAGCACACAAAAAAGAGCACTTTTTTCACGCAGCACATAGTTAAACTGAGGAATTCACTCCCACAAGAGGGATGGTCCCCAACTTGGATGGCGGTAAAGGGGGATTAGACCCATTTGTAGAGGATAAGGCTATCAATGACTATCAGTGCATTGCGTGTGTTGTCATTTCCAGACAACATTGTCAGTAAAAAATTATCCCGCTGATAAGGTGCCGGTGGCAGAAATCACCCCTGGATGCTTCGCCTATCACCAAATCTCCATAGTAGGAAAGGTTTGTTCTTCTCTTACCCTCCCACTTCCTCTTTTAAGTGCACTCATTTTAGCCTTATATGGCTTTTGAGGCCTGGGAACTCTGCCAGAAAAGTAAAACCTATTTTCATCTGAACTACAATGTGTGCGATTTTCACTAAGCAGCTTTTACCATGCCAGAGTTGCTGAAACTGTTTTGCTGGCAGCCGGTGCACTTCAAGTTCTCTGTGCTTTGTTATCTCTGGGGAGAAAGAAAACCATGTACCAAACTGTCGGAAGCTACTGGAAGTCCGTGTGACTCTGACTTCTAGAAACCCATTATAAACCCCTCAGTGAGCAGTTTCCAAGCATTCAGCCCTTGCTTTGCTGCAAGGAGGATCCACGTATACAATTACTGGACACAAGAAGTAATGACTTTTGTGGTGACTCATCATGAGGTGTTTTTCCCCCCAACAGACACCCTAGACTAGAGGACTGGAGGATGTTTCTCAATATCCAGTCTTGATGCAGGATTTCCTGAGAAGAGGCTGGAGTTAGGAAGAACAGAAGGGCACTTTGAAAGAGAATTTCTTCATGCTTTCCAGACAGTGGGAAAAGTAAGGTCAATAAAACCCAAATAGCATGTTTTGTTTTTCAAAGCTGCCATTTCACTTTATGGTGGTTTGGTTGCCAATGATGGGTTTTGCTGTATGATTGTAATTGTTTGTACTTGCTACACTGTAGTGCAGCTTGTTTCCACTTGATGGGTGGAAGGGCACCAAGAACCTGGTTTGCTCCATCTGGCTTCAAAGGATAGGACTATACATGTGTGACAGTGGCAGATTTCTCCTAACAGGCACGTTTCTATGCAATTTTGTCTAGAGACACATTTTTGCAAACCAACTCCCCTAATACAATAGATAGTAAAAATGTTACTTACATATACATGTGTGTGCACTCTCTCACACACAATTTACACTAGTACATGAATTATTTACTTTGGAAGCTGCAATGCAAAATTCAGAGAAGTGTGGATTTCAGAGTACGGCTGTGTTTTGGTTCACGCTTTGAGAAGTGTGAGTTGTTAGGTTTGCCTTTAAATGCACGCTGAATTGACTTTCTCCCCTATTCCTAAGTTGAGATTCTGTCTAGGGACTCTAGAGATGAGTTGTGTATGTGACAATTGGGTTTTTCAGGTTAGGTTTTTTGTCTGTCTGTCTGTCTGTTTGTTTTCTGAGCAGCCTCTGGCTAGATGGTCTGCTTTGGTATATAGCAGTAGCCTGTGTTCTCCTGCCCCTGAGGGAGTTTCACTGGGAGTTCTTTGCTATGGCACCTCATCTTGCATCATTGCCCCAGTGATTCTGAGGAGCATCATAGCCCACACATTTGAGACTTCAGTTTGAGTGTTCAGGGCTGGCACTGCCATTAGGCAGATAGTGGATGGTGGGTGGTGGGAAGCAGCTTCAAGGTGTTTGAGGACAGTGTTGCGTGTGCCACATAACATGTCCCATATCCCCCAAGGCAGGAAGATTCAAGTACTATCAAGAAAACATTTAAATATTTCATTTGTGTTGATGAGGAGTCGCGAGTTTGTTTGTCTCAAATTAGACCTAAGAGAAATGAGATTACTCAGCAAAAGCGAGCTCACACTTCTCATTCATTTGGTATATATACTGAAGGTACACATGCAAGAGACTCGTTTCTAATTATATTTTGGGAATTATTCGTGTTCTTATGTAGCTGCATTATTTTATACTTTCTGGGTGTCCCATGTTCATATTATAAAGAGTTGTGTCCTATGTTATAAATCAAGCACTGCTAGAAGTTGTATTTCTTATTTTAAAAAAACCAGTGTGGTTCAAGCATTTTTTTATTCTGAAAGTGTGGCCCAGAGAAAAAAGTTTGGGGACCACTGCCCTAAGCTAACCTACTGTTTTCAGCTGTGGTGGAGGATACTAAGCTATTACCAGTGCTGTAACCAAAGAGAATCTAGAGACTGAACAAAGTTTGCAGCACAGGGATCTACTGATACAGATCTAGAAGAATGAAAGCAGGTTTTATACGTAATTCCTGGACCTGTAGCAAAGGAAAAACATTCTGGACAATAATGTTGAAAACAGCACAGGGAATTACAGGATATGAAAATCCTTTAAAAATGCTTCTTGGAATGTTCCAGTTTGCATGTTGACCTTCAACCAATACAAACTCTGCTGATGACAGCAAAACTTTGTATTGCCCAATCTTGGATATGTAAACAATACTCCAGCAACTACACAATTGCTAAAGAAAACCTGGGAAACAGCCTTGCAGATAAAGCAGCCATATAATAGAAAAAATAACAGAATAATTACCAAAGCAAATGTATTGACCAATGTTTATACATTTCTGGAAAGACAACGTGGCAGATAATAACCTCCTTATTTACATTAATGTAATTATTTATCTGTGCTTTCCCTTCCCTTCATAATACTTTTCTTTCTATTCACATTTTCTCCTCACTTTATTACTGCATATCTATCGTAAAATTAATAAAAATATTAATTTGAAAAGTCATAGAGAATCCTGGGAACTGCAGTTTGTTAAGGGTTCAGTGACCTGTATCTCTGTGAGGCCAGCACTGTTAACAAACTACAGTTCTCCAGATTCTTCGGGGAAGCTGTAACTGTTAACGAGAGTGCTTTAAATGTATGGCACGGATGCAACCCTAGTCCAGCTAGGTAAACACAACTGGCTCTCTTTTAAGTTTTCATGATAGTCCAACATCCTATTTCATTGCCAGAAGCTTTATTATCTTTCCCTCCCTGTGTCGATGTAATAAGCGTGAGAGACCTGATATTAAGCAAGTTGAGCAACTCCTTGTTAATCTTTCTCCTGCCAGCTGTCCTCATATCATGCACTGCTGCTGGCAGAAGTGCTGTGCATTCAGTCCCTGATGTGACATGATAGAAATTCACAAAATTATGCAAAGCATAAAGAAAGTTTTTCTCCTTCCCTTGTAACACCAGAGCTCAGAGGTATCCAAGGAAGGGGGATGTTGGAAGATTTGGGACAGATAAAAGGAAGTACTTCTTCACACAGCTCGTAATTTAACTATGGAACTCACTTCCACAGGAGGCAGTGATGGCTACCCATTTGGATGCTATGGAAGAGGAATAGAGTTTGGATTTGATATCCCGCCTTTCACTCCCTTTAAGGAGTCTCAAAGCGGCTAACATTCTCCTTTCCCTTCCTCCCCCACAACAAACACTCTGTGAGGTGAGTGGGGCTGAGAGACTTCAAAGAAGTGTGACTGGCCCAAGGTCACCCAGCAGCTGCATGTGGAGGAGCAGAGACGCGAACCCGGTTCCCCAGATTACGAATCTATTGCTCTTAACCACTACACCACACTGGCTCTAATTCATGGACGACAAAGCTTTCAGTGACTGCTAGCTAGGGTGCCCATGCTATACCAGTTGCCGGGAACCACAGGTGGGCAGAGTGCTCTTGTGCTCAGGTTCTGCTTTCAGGCTTCCCACATGCATCTGGTCAGCCACTGTGACAGCAGGATGCTGAACTAGACAGGCCACTTGCCTGATCTAGCAGACTTGTCCTGCGTTCTAAAATTACCTGGCCATTTATTGTTGGAGTTTGGCAGGGTTAAGACTGTCAGGCAATCTAAAATTGGGTGGGTTGTTGTTCTTTCTCTGCGTTATGGGTTTCTGCTGGGGAAGGGAGAGCTGGCATTCATAGATAATGACACGGAGACATAAGTTCCAGTGCAGAGCACAGTTGGGAACAATTGCCGAGAAATCTCGGAGAGTGAGCATATTCAGTCCTGTCCAAATTGCTCTGAAACTACAGACAATGGATCTGCTGCAACTTGGGTCATCAGGCTTCTGCAATGACTACACTTAATGTAAGTGTTCTATTTTGTCTGCCACAGACTTCTGAGCAACTGCTGTAAACTGTCTCTGGAGCTTATTTAATTCTAAGGGAGAAGACCAAGCTGCCATTCCCAGAGGGTTGGCAGTCATTTGCCTCCTCATTTCTTTTTTACAAGACAGAAAGAAAAATTGTAGTAGAGATTGTGAGTACTTCCTACCCACAGTGGGTGAAAATATAAACTTGAAAGCCCTTTTAGAATGTGCACCAGTAAAATAGGTCAGGCATTTTTATGAATTGCCTGCCTATTCTAAAAATCATCATCTCTACATGGAGCTCTCTAGAGTCTGTAAATGATGGTAGGAGAAAAAAACAAACCCCGAAAAAATAGAGATATTGGGAGGCTTGTTGGCCTTTATAGTTCCAAAACACAGATGGAGGAGATACTTGATTGTGATTGCATTAATGAAAAAATTACCTAATTTGCACTTCTTGCATCAATATGTGAACTGAAACACAACTATCTTTTGAAATTCACTGTCCTTCGAAATTCACACAGCTAAATGTTTCAGAATATGTTGATGTGATAGGATGTACAATGTCATACCCTCCAACAATTCTCCGATGAAAAGGGAGCTGGGCATGTTTAGCCTGGAGAAGAGGAGGTTAAGGGGTGATATGATAGCCATGTTCAAATATATAAAAGGATGTCACATAGAGGAGGGAGAAAGGTTGTTTTCTGCTGCTCCAGAGAAGCGGACACGGAGCAATGGATCCAAACTACAAGAAAGAAGATTCCACCTAAACATTAGGAAGAACTTCCTGACAGTAGGAGCTGTTCGACAGTGGAATTTGCTGCCAAGGAGTGTGGTGGAGTCTCCTTCTTTGGAGGTCTTTAAGCAGAGGCTTGACAACCATATGTCAGGAGTGCTCTGATGGTGTTTCCTGCTTGGCAGGGGGTTGGACTCGATGGCCCTTGTGGTCTCTTCCAACTCTATGATTCTATGATTCTATGAAAATAGGAACGTCCCATTCCATAATGATAGCTTTACTATTTATACCCCACACATACTATTTATACCCCACACATCTTACTGGGTTGCCCCAGCAGCTTCCAACATATGTAAAAACATAATAAAACACCAAAAAACCTTCCCTATACAGGATTAGCGATGTGGGTGGCGCTGTGATTTAAACCACAGAGCCTAGGACTTGCTGATCAGAAGATCGGCGGTTTGAATCCCCGCGACGGGGTGAGCTCCCGTTGTTCGGTCCCAGCTCCTGCCAACCTAGCAGTTCAAAAGCACATCAAAGTGCAAGTAGATAAATAGGTATCGCTCCAGTGGGAAGGTAAACAGCGTTTCCGTGTGCTGCTCTGGTTCGCCAGAAGCGGCTTAGTCATGCTGGCCACATGACCCAGAAGCTGTACACCGGCTCCCTCGGCCAATAAAGCGAGATGAGCGCCGCAACCCCAGAGTCGACGGCTGGACCTAATGGTCAGGGGTTCCTTTACCTTTACCTATACAGGATTGCCTTTAGACAGCTTGGGGGTCAGATAACTCCATACCCTCCAACATTTCTCCAATGAAAACAGGGACATCCTAAGGAAAAGTGGGACATTCCGGGATCAAAACAGAAACCAGGACAGCTTCTCTAAATCAGGGACTTCCCTGGAAAATAGGGACACTTGGAGGGTCTGCAGTGTCTGCATTTCCCTGCTAATATACACATTTTTGTACACAATGTTTGATTGGAGAACTACACAGCAAAATGAGGAGTTGTGTGAATTTTGAAGGGTAATTTGTTTCAGTTCAAGTATTGGCTCAAAAAGTGCGAATTAGGGCTGTGCATGGCCCCTGGTTCTGTTCAGGCCCTGAATTGGGCCCAATGTAACACACCGAAGTGGGCACCAGATTGGGGAGGGGGCATACACAGCCCTGCTATTGTCCATTTCATTGCATTTTAATGTAGTGCAATCCTACCTTGGGCAGTAGGTAGGATATAAATCATCCAAAATAGCTAAAATAAAGTGACACCAGTAGTATGCCCACTAAACCTTATTGTGCTGAGGCAGCAATAAGCACAGAAGAAGCTACCTTACACCAGAACCTTACACCAGCCCAGTAGTGTCTGTTTTGACTCACAGATGTTGAACATCAAGTGCCACTTAGTCCTTCTCACCACAGAGGCCAGGGAAGGATTCTGAGGTCTCCTGCATGCATAGCAGGTACTCTGCCACTCAGCTATGAAGGCTCCTTCCCATACATAGCTACATCCACACAACCTATTTTGGCAGTGTACAGAAGAGTCTTCAGTTAGTGGTTTTATAGTAGGGAGAGAGAAGAGAGGTGTAATGTTTTGGGACAGGCTGAAAGGCCTGAATGCTGGCAGAAATGAAAAGCAGAGGTGCCTAGGCAGTTGGAAAAAGAGGAGAGTTATGAAGTGAGATGGTGCATTGTAAGGTAGGAGGAGAGAGAGAAAGGACTTCATGTCAGCCTGGAAACATGTTGCTATAAATTCTCAGCTGTTCTCACAGCATGCGGCTGAGAAACTGAAATGCCTGCAACTCTGTTATGATCATACATTCCAGTGACCCTATTTTCCAGGGGAAATCCCTATTTGGGTTATTGGTCCCTGATAAATTGCTGTCCCAGTTTTGCCTTTTAAGGATGCCCTCACAGGGGTAGTCACATTTGTCTCTTGCAGCAGCAAAAACAACATGCCTTGTCACATCTTAACTAATAGATTTCTTACGGTGTAAGAGGTAGTCTTGAGACCACAAAAGCTCATAAGGCCAGAGTCACCACTGCAGTGACTTTGGGTACCAGTGTGCCCACCGGTACCTCCTATGCTGCCTGTGAAAGGTGTCAGTAAATGTCCCTGCAATATAATACAGCTGTAGGTCTGTCATCACACAGCAGTTCACTTGGTTGCTGACAGATGGTGCTATATTGCAGGACCGGTATGATGACAGATTGGGCTCCCAAAACTGCAGGGCCATTGCAGCAGTGTCAGAGGGTGAGGAATGTGTAATTTGGGGATATGTGTGAAATGGCACAACCTGCTTGGTCTGTGTTTCGAGTTGCCCTTCCCCCACATCTTATTTCTCTTCAGTGTTAGGATGCAAGCTGTGATAGGCCTTTTGAAACAGCCCAAGGCCACAGGTCTCTGGCATGACTCATCCACCTTCCCTTTCTCCAAAGAATGTGTATATGTCTTTATAAAGCCAATGCTGCATTCAGCAGTAATTTGGGTGTATTTTAGTGAATTGTGGTGGTGGTGCATCTATCTCCAGACTTGGATCTCTCAGTATATTTGAATCTCTTTAGTATATCCCCTTAAGACCACAGAAATGTGGATAAGCCCTATGACAGCAATGAATAATTTCAATTTTGAAGTTATGGGATTTATCTGTGTCAATCTCCCTGGGGCATTACAAGCAAAAGGTGGTTATCAGACTGATAAATGAATAATAGACTGAGAACTGTATTGCAAAATTCAGAGAAGTACAGGAATCAAAGGATGCCTTCATTTGCATCCATATATGAGATCCAAAAGTGCTAGTCAGAATGCTTCAACATCCTCAAGTGCCCTTCTTGTTTTTTTGCTATGCAAACAGCAATTCCGGAAAAGTTTGAGCAATCTTGTGACACTGAGGGGTGGACGGGAACAGCTTAACTCTTTCTATCCCTGCTACGTTTGCTTTTAAAATCACCTCTCTGAAGGTACTATTTGCATTCCCTGAGGCTGAGAGAGGGGTGAGATCTGGAATGGGAGCAACTAAGTAGGAGCAAGAGAGAAGCAAGAAGGCCCTGGGAATCCTAGACATATGAGAAATCCTTGCACGTGTTGTTCGTTCTCTGTTATTTCTTACTAATTCTTTATGCTGTTATAGTTACAGCTTCATCAATCTTTAAAACAGTTTTGACTTGTCTGATCTAAGGGGAGGGAGCTCCCATGAACTCCAGGTCTGAATCTTCAGTCAGGGCAATAGGATCCTTACTGGACAGTGTTGGAGTCATATTATAAAATAAATAATAAAGAAAAGCTGACTAATATCAATGGACAGGAAGGTCCGTGGTGTAGATGCTGCTGCCACATGAAAAGATTGATTACCTGCAAGTGCAGAATGTATGTCACGAGGCATTTGTAAAAGTAAATTCTTTTCAGCCCAACTGATATAACCTGTTGAAACCTTTTGCCTTACTTGAGAACCGTCTCGGTGGGTGAGGGTGCAAAAGACATGTGAGGACTTGTTCAAATGAATGGAGATCCTTTTCTTCTGGTACCACATATATCACTTGCGTGATGTCAAAAACCAGTCATGGCCTGGAACTCATTCTGTCTTGGCAGGGAAAGGATCAAGGCTGTCCTTAAATGCCCTCAAGGAGGACGTTGAGTGTGTGTTTTATCCATGTGGGAGTCAACCCCTGTCACGTCCATGGAATGTGAAGCTAAATACATCTCTTCTGGGTTAAAATGCTATTAATCATTTTCTGCTGGAGAGCCAGCTTAAAGACATTGCTTTCTGAAAGTGAGGTTGCAAGGTTCTCATCTGTAATTAAAACTCTTCCTCTCTCCGCCCCTCCTTCAGTGGCCGGCCAACAAAACACAGAGCATCATCTGTGTTTGGAAGCCATTGCCTGAGGAACCTCCACAAACTTGACGGCTTGGTGCTGCTCTTTATTCAAGGTGCCACGTGAACGTTGCCATTTGGTAAACATGCTTGCGGGTCCAAAGAGGGATCTGTGGAAGATGCTTCTGTGGCTGCTCCTGCTCCTGCTGCTTGCTGACATTTTGGGATCCAGAGCTGAGGCAGACTTAAGAAAGAAGGCTCATGACCTAATGAAGCAAGTCCCATTAATCGATGGGTAGGTGGAATTCCTTGTTTTCATAACTATGAAAGCATCACTGTGGTCTGGGCTGGGCCATGTTCTGATATAGCAAGGATTGTGGAAACTTTTTTTAGCTTTCTGTGGGGTGTATGCCAGTTACTGGTGAGGCCAGAGACAAAAGTGGACAGAGCAATGAATGTAAAGTTTACTTTTATACAGAAAGCTAGTTCCTTCCTTCCTTCCTTCCTTCCTTCCTTCCTTCCTTCCTTCCTTCCTTCCTTCCTCTCTCTCTCTCTCTCTCTCTCTCTCTCTCTCCATCCATGAAAGCAAAAACCACTATCAGAATTCAAAACCCTCTTCTAGCATGGCAGAAAAACAGCCTGAGATGAAAGAGTGTGACTTAGGGGTGGGTTTTGACCTGGGGAGAGTCCCAAGAGCCAGATAGAGAGGCCTGGAAGGCTGGATTTGGCCCCTGATCCTGAGGATCTCCACCCCTGTGAATACAGTATTCTTCTGATTCAATATAATGATTTTCTTGAATACGAACAAACAGAGCTTGCAAATATTCAGTCATTCCTGCCTGCCTCTGGAATTACATTCCTGGTTGTGTTGCAAACTGCCTATGCCAGGCAGCAATGAGGAAGGAATCTGCCCAACTCGAATTTCAAAGCAGACACACCTGATTTGATTCCAGTCCGTACATGAGCCAAATCAGATCATGAGTCCTCCTTATAACTTGCAGTCCTATGGGTCCCTTCACAAGGTAGTACAGGGGCTGTTCCACATTGCCTTATCTCTTCCTTTTACATTAAAAAGAAAGAAAGAAAACCCAGCCTCCCAGAGTATATAGTGCATGAGGCTATTAATATGGCTGTTTAAACATGGGGGCAGCCATGTTTCCTTTATACAATCCCCGCCCCTGGCCCCCAAAAGTGAGAATATGAGTCTCATTGACCTGCAACATTTCAATATCAAGTGTACTGTGGCAAACTGCTGCCATGATGGGGCCAAACGTCTGTGGGCCAAAAGTCCAGGTCATTGGGGTCAAGAGAGGGAGGGAGGCATGCCACAAGTTCTGTGACAGAAATACACGTGAGTGAACTAAGTAATTCAAAGAGTGCCTTACAGTCCATCCTCTTTCATTAGCTCCCACAGCGATGGCAGATAGAGACGTACCTTTTAGAAAGCAGTAATAGACTAAAATGTCCTGTCTTCTTATCGCGCAGACACAACGACCTGCCCCTGAAGCTGAGATGGTTCTACCAGAACAAGCTGAGCAAGACTGACTTGAGAACACTCAACAAAACAGACACAAACATCCGGAAGCTCCAAATGGGCCATGTTGGTGCTCAGGTAGGTGTTTGGTGTGTACCCAAACCCTGCAAAATGCAGGATTGAACTCATCAGCTGATTCTACACAATCGCTGGTATAAAAGAGGGTGGGAAGTGAATTGTTGTGTGGTCCCTTGTTGTAAGAGGTGAAAGAGGAAAAGTATAGCAAGGAAGGGTATAGGATCCTGGTAATAATGATAATGATGATGATTTATGCCCCACCCATCTGGCTGGGTTTTCCCAGCCACTCTGGGTGACTCCCAACAGAATATTAAAAACATGATAAATAAGGCCTGTGAGCATGCCATCTATGATATGGGTATTTTCTATGGGGTTGGGTTATGGAGGGAAAATGTCCATTTGCAGTTACAGTTTGAATTCATACCACACCTACCGATGGACTTCAAAGGGATCCCTTCTCGGCACCCATCAGCTCCTTTGAAGGCAGTTGGGTCAACGGCATATCAACCGAGCGTCCATTGTGTGTACCTATAGTTGTGCCAAACAGGCATATATACACCTGAAATTCTGTTTTAAAGCTGCATTTTGTCAACCTTCTTCCAGTTTTGGTCCGTGTATGTTCTCTGCAGTGCACAGAACAAAGATGCTGTCCGCTTGACGTTGGAACAGATCGATGTTGTCAAGCGGATGTGCAAAGACTACGAAGAATTTGAGCTGGTGACGTCTTCTCAAGGTAACTTGTCCTGCATTCGCTAGAGTGAGATGGTCTCCTTAGGTAGCTAATTTTTGATAACCTGAAAGGGGAGCAAATAGCCAGCTATTGAATCTATTATCGTATTTTTACTGCTGGGGGGAGGAAGAAAGCTGCTTGTGGGATTTTCTTCCTCAAATGCCAAATAACATGGCTGGGGTACGAGGCACATTGACTTGGTGGGGGGGCTCTATCTGCTCTTATGCCTCAGGTAGAAAAATATATTGGGCTGGCCCTACTCAGGCAGAAAAAAATCCCATGTACATCAGCCAAAAATCATATGCTAGATCCAGAAATCAGTGACACAGTTTTCACATTAGCATATTAGCTTATCCACAGCCCCTTCAGATACTCCATCCTCACATGAAAGCATTGGATGCCAGAGGCAGGGTTGGAGCACTAAATATGAGGAGGGCAGGCATGTTTCATGGTGTTTTGGGCTGGCAGGGGGGTAGATATTATTTTGCCTTCCTAATGCAGGCATTGCTAACAGTAAAAACATGAAAAGCTGTTAGGGATGGGAGAGAAATTCAATTCTGTTTACATTGAAAGGTGAACTTACCTAATTCACATTTTTCATAACAATCTGAATTTTGCAATTCAGTTTTCCAGCCATGTAATGTGTGCCAAAATGCATATAGTAAACTGTGCATATAAATGTATATATATTAGTGAAAATAACATGCAAAAATGTACTATATTGGGGAAAATTGCTTTGCAAAAATGTGTATATTAGAGGAAATGTCATATTAAATGGTATATGGTAGGAGAAATTCAAACAAAAATGCTAATGAATCTTAATGAGAACTTAAAAGAACAACAACCCCAAAACCAATGTGGAAATGTGAGGAACTGAACTTAAGACTGGAGAAACAAGAAGCTGAGCGAAAACAAAATTCCTCATTCCTACATGCTGTAAATCTACCCGTAGTTGCACAACTATGTTGCTCTGCATTGATGTCCCTTTAAAAATTCGGATCTGTCTTTCTGATCGGAATCCAGGCATTGCCAGCACTGACAGCAAAAAGATAGCATGCTTGATTGGCATCGAAGGGGGGCACTCCATCGACAGCAGCCTCGCGACCCTGAGGATGTTTTACGAGCTGGGCGTTCGGTACATGACGCTGACCCATAACTGCAACACTCCCTGGTAAACTACAAACAAGTGTTCCTTCAGAGAGGGGCTGTTTCTCTGGGATTTGCCAACATTGCTTACAACATTACAATGTATTTATTCCTGTACTGAGAAAATACATGTGCCAGTAGGTCAGTCTGCTAAATGAAGGACCAGGGGAAGGCTGTAGCTCACTTGTCCAACATCCGCTTTACATACAGAAGGTCACAAGTTTGATCCCTGGCATCTCCAGGTTGGGCTGGAAAAGGCTTCTGTATGAAATCCTGGAGAGTCACAGCCAGTCAGTGCTAAGTGGAAGGAATAAGCAGTGAAGTTGAAGCAGGGGTGGGTCAGGAAGTTTTGCTACTTGAACCAAAACTGAAAATGGTACCTGCAGCCACTTGAGGTGACTGGAGGTGGCCCAGCAGAGTACCAGCATGCTGAAGGAGGCCAGAGAGAAGCAGGCAGCGGTGGGTGACAAGCACAGGAGACAGTGAGTGGTGTGCTCCTCAGGGAACGAATCTGCCACCCCTCCCAGTTGTCCCCAGCCTGCCACCTGAGGTGACTGCCTCACCATGCCTCATGGGAGGGTAGGCCTTGAGTTGAAGGACGGTTGGATTTAGAGTGAAGAGAGAGGAATTCAATTCCCTGCTTGGCCATTTCTCAGTTTAACCTACTTCACAGGGCTGTCGTGGAAATAAAAAGGGGCATTGTTTATGTTTTCCTGAGATCTTTAAATAAACACTGGTTTAAATAAGTAATGAATTAATCTATTTCAGGGGTTGCCAATGTGCCATTTTGGGATGTCCAGCATCCCTTCTATGGCACCCGTGAAAGGCCTAAGTAAATATTCCCTCAAAACTCCACAATACCCTTTGCTCTTCCTGCTCAGCTCGTTTGCACTGGCTCAGCCTCCCCTTACACTGAACATGCCCCCTTAAACATGCTCAGTTGTCATGGGATGCCTGGATTGGGCACCCACCATCCCATCTGTTCTGACCAGAGGAGAGGTGCAAAGAGCTGATAGAAGTGCCTCCCCCCCCCTTTAAGTGGCTGATGGGGAGCGTGCTTGTTCCTCCCCCCCTGAATCTTTTCTGCTCTCTTGGATGTGGCAGCTATTTTGTGTTATGTCACGACCCCACAGCGACCATTCTGTTTCATGCCAAACACCCCATGGCAGCCAATTTTTGACTGGTGCTCACAACATCCCTGAAAATTTCAGTGTTCTAGATGCGATTACATCTGTCTCTCTGTGTGTTTGTAATGCTGTTCCACTTCAGAGTTTGAAATATTTCCTTGACAGGCTTAAGTTTCTTCTTAAACACCCATCACCATCTTTGTTCCCCTGCAGGGCAGAAACCTCCGCAAAGCAAGAACATGAATTTTATCCCGACACTGAGGGCCTGAGCACTTTCGGCAAAGTAAGCATTAGTGAAGTGAAAATTAGCAAATTGCTGGCTGATATGCACCTGAATGTCTTTGAAATGTACATACTCTGCAGAAAAGGCAAATTCCATATTAGGGTCACTAGTAACGGAATCAAAATAAAGCTGCCAATATCACAATGCCTTTGTAAATTGTACGCCCCAAGGGGAACCACACTGCGCTCAGCATTGGGGGGGGGGAGAGTGTTGTTGCACTCAGATTCTGCTTGTGGGCTTCCCAGAGGTATCGGATTGGCCACTGTGGGAACAGGATGCTAGATTCAGTGAGCCTTTGTCCTGATGCAGCAGCCAGGCTCTGCTTATGTTCTTAGATCATGTCAGAGTAGCATAACCCACAGCACCATCTGCCCATATTGTGCTAGGAAGTGGTGAAGGAGATGAATCGACTGGGGATGATGGTGGACTTATCTCACACATCTGACGCAACAGCAAGGGCAGCTCTTAGTATCTCCAAAGCGCCGGTCATTTTCAGCCATTCATCCGCCTTCTCAATCTGCAACCATTCAAGAAATGTTCCAGATGATATCCTGTTGGATCTGGTGAGTGAGACTTAGGGCTTATCCAAACTCACCATTCCTCTGCACTTTCCTTCATGGTCTGGGATTTAAAGCTCCTCGTCTAAGCACTCTCTCTTTCTTTCTCTTTTGCTTTGGTGTTTCCCCCACAAAAACCCACTCTTTAAAGCTGAATCAGAGCAAATGGAAATCCATTGAAAACCCAAATTGCCATTTGTTGTGCTTCAGCATTAAAGAGTGGGTTTTCGTGGGATCAGCCCCTCCTGTCCTGGCCAATTACATGAAAATCTCTATTTCTTGTTGTCCAATGAGCCTCGCCAACTCAGGGAATGACGAATAAGGCTTCTGCATATGATCTCGGTGACCAAGCTAGGATATAAGGGTTCTGGTGGTCCCTGAGGTAGCCCAGTCTAATACAGGAACACCTTCAGTTGTTTCACTTGTATATTCTGTAGATAACCTGGGGCATATCTACACTCGTGGTTTATAACATTAAAAATGTGTTATCAAAATGTGACACCAGGGGGTGCTGCAAAGCAAAGGGAAACTGCCATTAAATGTTATAGAATGTTATAGAATGTTATATTTAATAATGTTTAGAAGATCAATGTAGATCTAGGCCTGGTGTCTTCCCACATCAAATCTGGGTTTGACTTTATATTCTTTTCTGAGAGTTTTTTCCTCCCCACCTCAGCCTTCACTTTTAGATACGATTATATTGTCATTGATGTTCTAGCTGCCAACATCCATATCATTATTGATGGTACCAGTCTACTTGCCTCTGACTTGCTTCATTTCCTCTTCCTTTGTTTTAGAAAAGGAATCGTGGGATTGTGATGGTGACATTCCCAACCAAATTCTTGGCCTGTGGTAGCCAAGCAGTGAGCATTTCAACTGTTGCAGGTTAGCAGAAGCAGCTTTCTATGTATCGCTTTATTAGTAATATCACCCTACTTTCCAGACGCGGGTGGCGCTGTGGGTAAAAGCCTCAGCGCCTAGGACTTGCCGATTGAAAGGTCGTCGGTTCGAATCCCCGTGGCGGGGTGCGCTCCCGTTGCTCGGTCCCAGCGCCTGCCAACCTAGCAGTTCGAAAGCACCTCCGGGTGCAAGTAGATAAATAGGGACCGCTTACCAGCGGGAAGGTAAACGGCGTTCCGTGTGCTGCGCTGGCTCGCCAGATGCAGCTTGTCACGCTGGCCACGTGACCCGGAAGTGTCTGCGGACAGCGCTGGCCCCCGGCCTATAGAGTGAGATGAGCGCACAACCCTAGAGTCTGTCAAGACTGGCCCGTATGGGCAGGGGTACCTTTACCTTTACCTTTTACTTTCCAGAACTAGAGTGGAATATAGCACAAGTTTAGCCCTCATTTCCATGTTATTTGCAAATGGAATATTTCTGGAAGCAAACAACACAGAACTGAGCACTAAGCTTGCACCACAGTCCACTATAGTTCCAGAAGTGGCTTTTACATTCTGTGAAAGCTCAAACAGAATACTGAACTTCAGGGGAAAGTTGTGAAAATGGAATAAATTGCCATGTGAATGCAACCTGTGTCATTCTGTCACACACAAAGACTGCAGGTGTGCTTATTCAAGGTAGATATTCTTAAGGAACAAACTAGACCTTACTTAATGGTGTGATTAGGAGCTATAAAAGGCTACTTTTTTAGGTGCATGAGGGTGGTTTTCATCAGGGCTGCAGAACAGACAAAAGGGAAGTTGAACCTTTTCCTCCACAGCTACAGCTACAATTGCAATGAAATACCACCACCACTAAAAAAAAGTGTGGTGATTTTCATCAATATTATGGCTGGTTAGGGGAAGCTAAACCTTTTGTGGTTTTAATGAAAGCCCTCTTTCACTGAGTATGTTCAGTATCTGTTGGAGCGTAGTAGAGAGTGGGGTGGACTGGAGGTTCCTGGAAGAGAGCATAGCTGGACAGCACTCCATGCTGCAACCTTTTGTTGCAGCTCCCACTTGTAATCCTTCTAGCACTCACATAACTACTACTCCAAGCACATGGCATTTTCTTTTTCAGCACGGTTCAAATGGTTTGCCCTTTGTATATGTAATTGGAGGTAATATTGAACCCAGGTCTTATTATCCCAAGGTCAGTGACCAGGGAAATAGATAAATATCAGGTCAGCTGCCTTGAAAAATTTTATTTCCAGCTATGAGCTTGCATTACTATAGCAGCTGCCTTCCTTCAGCCTGTTCTGACCTCTCTGTTCCCCAGAGGTCAAGCCTCTGTGAAAAATTATCCTAATGAATAATGTTTCTAAGAAAATAACCTAAAATCTGTACAAATGTTTTTTGTTCATTTAATCAGTTATGGCATTTCTGCAACTAAGAACAAAATGTTCTAGTGTGTAGTTTTGAGGTAAACATTCAAATTACAAAACATCAAGTAGATCTGATATATTTTATTTTACCTTTTGGTTAGCTGTCTGTAAGATGTCCCTTGACAGCAGAGAATCCCACACAGTCCAACACCTGCCCCACTCAGTTTTCTCATCATTCTCTGGTAAAACAGGACCAGTGAGGGGTGTGGCCTGGAAAAAGCTCTAAGGGCCAGACACAGAGGCCTCACTTTCAAGACTTACCAAGCTGATCTTGGTCTTTAAAATGCAATGGGTGAAAAAAAAAACCATGGAGAATCATGTAGTTTGAACCTCAGGGTGGATTGCACATACTTCAGCGGCCCAACTTGCAACTGAATTTGCCCACAACTGGACATGTTGTGTTTCTATCAGACGTCATAAATGGCTGTACATTTCCCCCCTGACATGTACTTCTGCTCTGACAACTATTGTCATTGTTGTCTCCTTTAAATGATCTAGATCACTTTGACCACATAAAGGAAATTGCAGGTTCACATTCAATAGGAATTGGCGGTGACTATGATGGATTAGTTCGGTTAGTAACCTTTTTTCATTGTCGTGCAAGACAGTTATATATTCAGCACTACAGTGGGGTGCTGTTTTAAATGGCATCCTTGGAATTCCCCCACAGTGTAGAATCACCCCATGTCCTCTTGACATCATCGTGTCTTGTGTTTCTCCACCTCCACTGTTGGTAGCCAATGGTGAGGACCAGGGGTCACCATCATTATTTATTAAATTTATAAACCACCCTTCATCCAAAGATCACAGGGTGGTTTACAGCATAAGAATGGTACCCTTGAGATGTTCCTCCAAGTGCACTGCAGCCACCCCCAGTCTTCAGGTGGTGAGGTTAGTTACCTTTCCATCCCTTGAAAAGTACATCGAGCTGATGGAGGAAGTTGAAAGAATGACACTCTTCCCCACTTCCTGTTTCAGCTCTATGCTCTCAGCTTACTTCTACTGGATCCAAGTTTTACCCAGATGTATTGTGAAAGCAGGGTGTTTGTGTGAGAGCATGTTTGTGTGTGAGCATGTACACCTTCTTTCTGTCACTCTATGGGTGGATGATCTAAGAGCAGGAGAAGTACGCAGAGGTGATGGTGCCTGTGACAGTCAGTCAAAAATCTGCATGTTCCCACATGTGTAAAATAGTTGGCAACCCTTTGGGTGAGGCAATGCAAGACAGGTTGAATCAGACCACCGACTAAGTGTTCAGGGCCAGCCCTACCATTTGACCTGATATCCTCTAACCTGCTATCCTCAGGAATGTTATAGGATATCGTCCTGTCACCAAAGATTCAAGAGATGTAGCTCACTGGTAGAGCATCTGCTTTGCATGCAGAATGTCCCAGTTTAAATCCTCAGCATCTCCAGGTATTGCAGGCAATGTTCTCTGCCCAGAGAGCTGCTGCCAGTCAGTGTAGATGGACCAAGCTAGATTGACCATGGTCTGACTCTGTAGAAGGTAGCTTTCTAGTTTCCTAAATTCTAACTGCTTGTCCAACCTCTGTACATTATGGAATACATGTATTGCATGTAACATGTGCTTCAACTTCCAGAGTGTAAGGATTTTATGTAGAATGAAAAACCTATGAAAATGGTTGCATCCCGCTCAGGAGGGGCACTCCAAACTTGACTGGGATTAAATCCCTGAAAACAATTTAGATATCCCACAGTTTTCATGGCCTTCTCATTCTGTGAAAGGAATTACATCACACAGTGCAAGTGGAGGAAATGATTGGATGTCAGCAAGGCTTCCTCAGTCGGACTCTTGAATCTGATTTAGCACAAAAAGGATGTATATCCCCTCAGGAGTTAGCTGCACAGTTAACTGCACTAGGGAACTTATTAAATTCCCTCTCTAGGGGGAAAAATGCCATCCAATATACATTTTGTTTGTTCCATACCTCAGTGTGAGCTTTCTTTGCTAACAGATTCCCCGAAGGACTAGAAGATGTCTCTAAATATCCAGCCTTGATCGAGGAGCTGTTGAGGAGAGGCTGGAGTGAAGAAGAACTGAAGGGTGTTTTGAGAGAGAACTTCCTTCGTGTTTTCCGGGAGGTGGAAAAAGTACTGCTAATATTTGTTTTCCCCTTTTAACTGGCATTACATTTCCCCAAAGAGAAAATGAGGAGGGAAAGAGATCCTCTAGGCCCAAGATAAGGAACCTGAGCCTTCTAGATGTTCCCTGATCTAAGGGTTGAGGTTACCCAGCAAATTTAAAATGTGAGAATAAAAACAGAAACATTTCATTGCTGGATCAAATTTAAGACTGTTTTAGGTCAATACTCAGCCTCCAACAAGTCAGGTGTCCCTGGGGGGGAAAGCAGACCAGCCTAAAGATGGGCATCACTTAGTGTGGGAGGAAAATATAATCCCTGTGATCCACATGTGTGGGGTAAATAATAAAAAAGTATCAGCTGGGTGCCTGGATTCACAACTTGGGGCTAAATTCACTCTCCAGCAGGAGAGTAGCAGAGTTTAAACTCTCCACCCCACTCCATTTTCTTTCTCCCACATCCCACAATGATTAGACAGCAGTCTGGATCCACTAAGCATGTTCAGCTTTGTTTGTTTGTTTGTTTGTTTGTTTGTTTGTTTGTTTGTTTGTTTGTGTCTCTACATATTAGAGGGTTTTTTGTTTTGAAATTGTAATTCTGTAAACCTTGGAGTCCCCCCAGGTCTGATGATACTTTTCTCCTGGGTGTGGTGGTGTTTGTTTTCCCAGATAAGGACCAGAATTTAGATCATGAGTTCACTATTTATATGTAGCAGCATTTCCCAACCAGGTGCCCTCCAATAGTTGCTCTGTTCCATCTCCTGTCAACCTAGCAGTTCGAAAGCACACCAGTGCAAGTAGATAAATAGGTACCGCTGTGGTAGGAAGGTAAACAGTGCTTCTGTGCGCTCTGGCTTCTGTCACGGTGTTCTGTTGCACCAGAAGCGGTTTAATCATGCTGGCCATATGACTGTCTGTGGGCAAATGCCAGCTCCCTCGGCCTGAAGCAAGATGAGTGCCGCACCCCATAGTCACCTTTGACTGGACTTAACCATCCAGGGGTCCTTTACCTTTACAAGTCTTGAATAGCAACTTCCATCAGCCTCAGCTAGCATCACCAGGCTGCTATTTAAGAGTGTTTTGTTCACAGAAGGTCCCAGCTACTGGCATCACCAGACTTCCCAAGACCCTGTTAAACCACTGCCAACCCAAGGAAACATCATTAGACAGTTTATGCACAGCCTAAATCAGGACTGGGGAACCTTTGGCCTGCCAGATGTGGCTAAACTACTGGTCTCATCATCCCTGGCCACAGTCCAGCAACATTTGGAGGGCCACATGTTCCCCAGTCCTGGCCTGAATTGTCTCCAACTAAGTTGTACTAAAAGTAGACCCACTGAAATTGATGGGCTTAAATGAATCGTGCCCATTAAATTCAACAGCCCTACTCCAGATGCCGTCCGCATACCAGATGGGTCAACAGAATAAGGCAGCTTCATATGTTTATAGTTGATGCAAAGGTCTCGCTTTCTGATTTATCATTGTGTTTGAATACTTCTAGGTGCGTGATGAGAACTTGTCAGAGGGTGTGAGCGAAGTGGAAATTCCTCCTGAAAAAGTCGATCATTCCTGTCACACAGAACTAAAGCCCCCATCTAAACTGGCGACCAGTTCCTGTGGACTGCATTGGGGAGGGCAGCAGCCGTACAGCCTTATTCTCTCAATTGCGGTGTATGCAATGCTAAATTGAGATCATCATCTCAGACAGCGGTGCAACAACCCTGCATACCTGTTTGGAAGATACAGTGTGAAGTGTGACGCATGTAGATGGTGCTTTGTGGGGGCCCCGCTGTGCCTTCTTCATTTCCGTGAATGAAGAGGCTGTCTCTGCACACGAAGGGCATTCAGGTGAAATACAAGGACAAGACTCCTTTGCCTTAAATATTTTTGCTGAATACCAGGTTTCAGCAAACACCACCACGGCAGCTCCCATCCTAACTGACCCTTGCCTGCATTGGCTGGGGCTGATGGGAGCTGAGAGCCCCACATCACCTGGAGGGTCACTGCTAGCAATGTGGGAGGCATTCAGTGCAGTTCACGTTTATAGGCAAACCTGCCTAACGCACACTTTCTGAGACAATATGCAATTCAAAACACAGGCATCCATAACTATCCATAATTTTGTGCTAAATCACTGTTAAATTTTCACAAGGACTTTATTTTTCTTTTTAAAGAAAACCACAAACTGGTTTAGAAATACAGTGGTACCTTGGGTTAAGAACTTAATTCGTTCTGGAAGTCCGTTCTTAACCTGAAACTGTTCTTAACCTGAAGCACCACTTTAGCTAATGGGGCCTCCTGCTGCTGCCACACTGCTGCCCCACAATTTCTGTTCTCATCCTGAAGCAAAGTTCTTAACCCAAGGTACTATTTCTGGGTTAGCGGAGTTTGTAACCTGAAGCGTCTATAACCTGAAGCGTCTGTAACCCGAGGTATGGAGAACTGAAGAGTGGAGGGATGAGAAACTTGGGGCAGATTGGCCGTACCATATAAAGCACACCCTGTATACATTTAAAGCACATGGCTTGCCCCAAATGAGCCTGGGAACTGTAGTTTATTAAATGTAGTTTTGTGAGAGGAAATGACAGTTCCCGGGATTCTTTGGGGGGGGGGACATGTGCTTTAAATGTATGTGGTTGCTCTGCCCTGAGAGAAAGGCTGGGATGTAGGAGGAGGCCTGTTTGATAGCCGTACCGTAGGGTTGCCATACGCCCGGAATTTCCTGGACATAGCCGGCAGTTGGCCCTCAGAAACAGTGTCTGGGTGGAAATTGCTTAAATGCCCGGGAAAATCTGGACGTATGGCAAGCTCAACAACATTGCTGTTCGGATTTTCACTTTTTGAAATATGGCAATGCTACCATACTGAAATATAGGAATTCCTTCCATAGAGAGGCTTGTCCATCCCTACATTGATGGCTTTTCATCACTATTTCAGGACTTTCCTCTTCTGAAAGGCTTTTGACCTCTGAGATTAATGACTTCTCTCTTTCTCTTTCTAGTGGTATGCTGTTTTTTTTGTTTTGCTTTTTCATTTCGGCTTGTTTTAGTTGTTTGCTGTCTCAAGCATGCTGAATGAAAAGAAATGTTGTTTTTTTTTTAAAGGCAGTAAATCATTAAATAAATCCAAAGCCAGATCAATATCCAGCAGTTTCACCAAAACGAATGAGGGACAGCTGCTGAGGGGTAGGAGAGTTAGATTCATGGATCCTATAAAATGCTGAAAAATTGTTTGAAAATATCACATGTGATATAATAGTTGTGAAGAGTTTTGCTGTATAATATATAAATTTGAAATTATTATAATGAGCAATTCTGTGACTGCTCACTGTTGGATTCACTAGAGCAGTTTGAAAGCTAAAGCCCCAGTCTACATGCTCTCAGAGGGGCCTGGGCTGTAATACAATTCCCACTTGCTTGGGAGTGAGCTTCATGGAACTCAATGGGACTTGTGTACATTATACTGCTAATCATCCTGATTAACTTCAGTTGGATCAGAACCTGTGTATACGTACCTTTGGTTCCAGGACCTCTGACCCTCCAGGGGTTACTGGACTACAGATCCCATTATCTTTGTCCATTGGCCATGTTGGCTGGGGCTGATGGAGTCCAACATCACCTGGAAGTATAACTTCCCACCCCAGTTAGTCTCATGGACAAAACTTGGCACTTTCCACATTTTCTCCTGCAAGTTCCAAACATCTCAGATGCCTACTCCACAGTAACTCAGAGCAGGGCTTTCATTGTGGCTGCCCCTATTCTGTGAAATATCATTCCTGTCAAAATACGACAGGAGCCTACCTTCTTCACTTTCTGGAAACAGAAAGATATTTTTCTTCTAACAGGTTTTCCCAACTGCATATATGGATCTTTGCCATTAGTGTCTGTTCTGAAGGGTTTTCGTTATGTTACAAACATATGTTTTTGTGTTTTCAAATGCTGTGACGATTGTACAGAAGGAAATAAATAAATAAATAAATTATTATTATTATTTATTTTTCTTATTAAAAACAACCACGTGCACGTTGGTATGAAGCACAGGGCTTAAATTCTCTGAACAACATTGCTTTTTATTTTTTATTTTTTTTAATTAAATTTTTATTGAAGTTTTAACAAACACCATAACAAAAAAAGAAAAAAAGAGAGGAAAAAAAAGCAAAAAGGCATAACATACAAATACAAAAGATAAAACACGTATAACCTCAATTTTTACTTTCTTTAAGCTTACTTTCACGACTTCCTCATACCTTCCCTTTCTGTATTCTAATTTCAGATTCAATTTTCAGCAAATCCTTTCCCTACTTTTACAATAATTTTAGTAACAGATATTTTCTTCCAATTATCCCTTACTGCTTTTAACCCCTAAATAACCAATCCAACATTTTTCTAACCTTCATTAATTTTACAATATTTTTTTAGATACTCTTTAAACTTCTTCCAATCTTCCTGCGCCGTATCGCTTCCCTGGTCACGGATTCTGCTCGTCATTTCTGCCAGTCCCATATAGTCTATCACCTTCAGTTGCCATTCTTCCACGGTGGGTAGTTCTTGCATCTTCCAGTACTTTGCGATGAGTATTCTTGCTGCTGTTGTAGCATACATAAAGAATGTTCTGTCTTTCTTTAGCACCGATTGGCCGACAATGCCCAGGAGAAAGGCCTCTGGTTTCTTAGGGAAAGTGTACCTAAGTACTTTTTTCAGTTCATTATAGATCATTTCCCAGAAGACCTTAATCTTTGGGCACGTCCACCAAAGGTGAAAGAATGTTCCTTCAATTTCTTTACATTTCCAACATTTATTATCGGGCAAGTGATAAATTTTTGCGAGCTTGACTGGGGTCATGTACCACCTGTATATCATTTTCATAATATTCTCTCTTAAGGCATTACACGCCGTAAATTTCATACCTGTGGTCCACAACCTTTCCCAGTCAGCAAACAAAATGTTATGACCAATGTCCTGTGCCCATTTAATCATTGCAGACTTAACCACTTCATCTTGTGTATTCCATTCCAACAACAAGCTATACATTCTTGACAGATTCTTAGTACTGGGTTCTAACAGTTCAGTCTCTAATTTTGATTTTTCCACCTGGAAGCCAATTTTTCTATCTGTTTTAAACACTTCCATTATTTGATGATAATGAAGCCAATCTCTCACTTTCCCTTTTAGTTTATCAAAACTTTGGAGTTTCCATCTGTCCCCCTCTTGTTCCAGAATTTCTCCATATCTTGGCCATTTGGCCTCCATATTAAGTTTTTTAATGGCCTTTGCCTCCATTGGTGACAACCACCTTGGAGTTTTACTTTCCAGCAAATCTTTTTTCTCGTCCAGACATTATATAGTGCTTTCCTGACAATGTGGTTTTTGAACCCTTTATGAGCTTTAACCTTGTCGTACCAAAGATATGCATGCCATCCATACATATTGTTATACCCTTCCAAGTCCAAAATGTCAGTGTTCTCAAGAAGTATCCATTCTTTCAGCCAGCAAAAAGCTGCTGATTCATAGTAAAGTTTTAAGTCTGGCAGGGCAAACCCCCCTCTGTCTTTCGCATCAGTTAATATCTTGTATTTTATTCTGGGCTTTTTGCCCTGCCAGACAAATTTAGATATATCTTTCTGCCACTTCTTGAAACAATCCATCTTGTCCAATATTTGCAAAGTTTGAAACAAAAACAACATTCTAGGCAACACATTCATCTTAATAACTGCTATTCGACCCAGCAAGGAAAGCTTCATATTTGACCATGAACAACATTGCTTTTTAAAAAACACTTGGCTGAAAATTTTAGAAAGGCAGTAACATATAAAGGATCAAATGTCTGACTTGGGTCCAGCAGTTTTATTTTAATTTAAGGGTGGGGAACCTCTAGCCAAGAGCCAAATCTGTCCAGCCCTCTTCCCTAGGCTTCAAACCACACTGGTCCTGCTGTGTCTCCTCTTAAGTAACCTGACCTGACTGGCAGATGGATGCATTCAGATTCTTGAGTGACTACTGTGAGCACCACCCCCTCTAGTTACTTCTATGTGACACCCACCCCAAGATACAGAGGAGACAAGGTGTGCACACCCACATTTCTGAGGGAATAGTATGAAAAGTTGGATCTGTTCGTATTAATCTAAGCCACAAAGAGCTGAAGCAGCAGTTCCTTAGGACCTAAGAGATTCCTGTTGTTTGATGTCCAAACAACTCACTCAATCATCGTAGGTCTGACTTCATTCACTGGTTAACATCTCTAAGGGGCGGGAACAGCCAAGGTGTGTCATCTCACAGATAATCAATAATAATAATAATAATAATAATAATAATAATAATAATAATAATAAATTATTTATACCCCGCCCATCTGGCTGGGTTTCCCCAGCCACTCTGGGCGGCTTCCAACAAATTATTAAAATATAATAGTCTGTTAAACATTAAAAGCTTCCCTAAACAGGGGTACCTGCACAATTTGCTGCTTAACTTTCTTTCTAGGACGACTTGATACTTCTTTCAAAAAACAACAAACAAACAGAAAGCTTTAAGCCTGTGGATCCTTGCGGTCATGCGCAATTGCCCCAAGTGCACCTTTATAATCTGATCATGAACAAATTTCAGACACACTCAGGAAAGACCAGGAAAACATTAGACTTGGTGGGCAGGATCAGAAGTGGCTCTTATTCCACTTGCTGCCTGCAAATATTGCCCACCATCTAGAATATTTCAAGGGACAGAGGGAGGAAGTTTGCTGGCCAGACCAGTACACTTTGCTGCCCAAAGCGAATCTCAGGTGGCAATTTCCCCTTTCAGAGAAAGGAAGCCCAGCTCATTGGAGCAGCAGAAGAATGTGAGTTTGGCTCTGAAGTCTGCCTTGACCCTCATTTGTTGGGCTGCAGAGCCCTCTTGTGTCTTTATGCAGTTCCTGCAAGCGTCCCATTCCCCCCCCCCTTCACCCAACCCCTTTTTTTGTTTTAGTAAGCCAGAAGTTGGGCACCTGTTGAGCACCCTCCAGGTGATGATGGACTCCAGTTTCCAGCATCCCTGACCATGAGCCATGCTGAAAAAGGGTGGTGGGAGCTGAGTCACGCATCATCTGAAAGGTCAAAGGTTCTCCATCCCTGGCTAAAACCTGCCTTACAAACAGCTGATTCAATGCTGGGTGAATTCAGTGCCCCCTGCCTTCAGCACCATTCAGACAGCTCCAGAGGGACACTAGCCTTCTGTAGAAGGGAAATGCCAAATCAGATACCTTTTTTAATATAAAAAACAAATAATGTGTACAAAAGAGTACAGAAGTTGAGTAAGGACATGAAAGGAATACTTGCTTCCACCATGGCCTGAGTGAGCTACAGCTTCCCAGCCCCAATCTCTTGCCCCTGAGGCCCTCAGGGAGAAGAGGAAGCAGGGGAAGAGTTGCAGGAAGGCGCAAAGGTGGTAGAGATGCTCCCAGAGAGTCGGGCCATTAGAATCTCCTTTGTCCCCTCTGCCACTGTCTCCAAGACAAAGAGTGGCTGAAAGCAACAGGACCAGCTGGAGCTGCTGCGCGGAAGAAATTGCCAGCTGCTTGCACACACTATGTCTGAAGAAGGGGTTTAAATGTGCTGGTGGAGGCATGATCACACTGTTGCTCTGGCTCAGAGCACAAGTCTCAAGGAGGTGCCTAGCTAGATACTTAGCAGGAGTGGTGCATGTAATTCTTGCACCACAGGCACTGATGTAATTGCATGCTTTGACAATGAAGAACTAAACTTGCAATTGCATGTCCTCATTGGAGGCTGGGTGTGCTCAGGACATATACACATTTTTGCAAGTCACTTTTTCCTAATATAATCCATTTAAGTATGTTATTTTCACTAATGGGCTGTTTTAAATGGTTTTTAATGTTGTTTTGATGTTGCATCCCACCCTGGGACATTACAGTGAAAAGCAGGTAATAAAACAACAATGACATGGCACACATTTTACACACACTTTAATATACCATATGCATTATGGTACAAAATACTTGCTTGGATAACTGGATTGCAAAATTTGGAGAGATGTGAACTTTGAAGGATGGCTGTGTTTCCATCTGTGTATTGTTTTAGAAAGTGCAAATTGAGTAGATTCACCTTTAAATGTGAAGTGAATCGAATTTATCTCCCATTCCTAATTTGTTTTAACTGTAGCTTTGCATTATCCATGAACTCAGCATCTTTTCCTAACCACAGTTTCTTTAGGAACCTCACTGTAGATGCTCACCAAACTACAAAGTCATAAGGCAAGAGCAGCTGGAAGACAAGACAAGCTTTAGAGAAAGAAGCCATGGTTTGTTTGGACATTTGTGGGACAACTCGTGTTTGACTCGTGGTTTGCTAAATAACATGTGGCTTAAATAAACCATGGTTTAGTGTTATGCATGAACCAGCCCACTGTCAAATCATTAAAGCAATACTGCCTGGCAATGTCTGTCCACAGCCTCCAGCAGGGAAGCTACCTAATCCTTTTAACTGAAAGGGCCAGAGAATGAACTTGGAGCCGTATGGGGAAAGGCTGTGGCTCAATGGTAGCTTTGCATGCAGACAGTTCCTAGTTCAATCCCGGGCACCTCCAGGCAGAGCTAGGAGAGTCCTCTGCCTGAAACCCTGGAGAGGTGTTAAATGGTCTGACTCAGTATCAGACAGCTTCCTATGATTTCTAAAACAATAGCTCTACCACTGAGCTATTGTCCTTCCCCAAAGGAGAGAGATTTACCTTCTAGTGATTTAGCTAATTTGACATGGAAAAACAAACACTGCTTCTTGTCCATCTCTGCTCGCCCTTTGAAAGAAGCAATCAAATAAACAATCTAAACAAACTTCTGAAAGTTTCCTCTTGGTACTAAGTCTTAAGAGAATGCATCAGCGCACTGCTCAGCCTTAACCAAGATTGCTTTTTATCAGTGAATCAGACTAGGTTTATCCTGACTGCCTACCACTTCAAAGCATGCAGCACCAATTGCATTTTAGCCTTTACAGTTTAATCCTACACACCCTGGGCTCAAGGAAAATAAAGCAAAAGTCTTGTTTGCTTGTAATGGAAGCGATAGCAGTGCCATTCTTTTTCCTAAAAAAAATGAAAAAGCAGGATGATATACTCTCTAGAGCATGGAGGGAGTGGAGGAGACACCTCTGGGGAAGGGGGGGGGGAATTCTGCATTCCTTTCATATGACTTGTTTTCCTTTCATATCACTTGTTATCTAAGCATTTATTCTGATTTATTTGCAAGGGAGGTTAAGCAATATTGTGTCAAGCTATTTTTATACTTTGCAAGCGATTTTCTTGGTCACCTTCCTTATCAGAAAAAAAGAACCACCACTTTTTAAAAGTGAGTTTGTTGGAAAAGATCACCAAATCTACTTCAACTACACAACCTGAATTTGTCTGTATGCAATTGAATCCCACCTGCAAAATAGCAATAGTTTGGAAGAAGCCCCTTTCTCTAACATGAAAATATCAGACACAGACACAACAAACTTCTGATTATAGCCACCTGGTCAAACACAATAAGAAGAACATAAGAAGAACCTGCTGGATCAGGCCAGTGCCCATCTAGTGGCTGACCCAATGTCTATGGAAAGACCTCAAGCAGGACCTGAGCACAAGAGCCCTTTCTCCCCTCCTGCGGTTTCCAGTAGCTGGTATTCAGAATACTAACCACAGAGGCAAAGCATAGCCATCATGGCTAGCCCTTTCCTCCATCAATTTGTGTAAGCCAGACATGTCCAACCGGTGGACCGCAATCGACAGGTAGATCCCCTGGTGCACGTGGTTGATCGCAGGATCCTTATCAATCGCTGTCTTAGAGAAACGTCGCAATGAATGTTTCTGCCCCCCGCCCCGCTCTGTTCCTCCGTTGCGTCTAGTGGGCGGAGTTTGGTGTTTCCTCATTGCAATCTGGAGCACGGTGATTGACTTTAGCGCTGGTCTTTCCAAAAAGCTCAACAATTCTGGTGAATCCTCAATGACAATGGGTAGATCACTGCCAGTTTTTTTACACTGGGAGTAGATCGCAGTCTCTTGGGAGTTGGACAGGCCTGGTCTAAGCCTCTTTTAAAAGTCAGCCAATTTGGTGACCCTCACAATCTCCTGTGGGAGCAAGTTCCAAGTTTATACACTGTGTGTGAAGAAGTATATTCTTTCTTCTGTCCTGAATCTTCCAATAGGCAGCTTCGTTGGGTGTCTGCAAGTTCTAGTGCTATGAGGGAGGGAGAAAAAACTTTTCTATATCCACAATACACCAGACATTTTAAATGAACACCACAAAACAGCAAATATTTAATTTTCCAGAAGCACTGTTTTCCCACAGAGTCCCTTTGTCTACAACCACATTTCAGAGAAGCAAACAAGAAAAGAATGTTCCCCTCCTTTGTAAAGTGTACCTAATCCCAAAAATTGTTACATTCGTGGACAAGTTCACTGGTGACTTATAGCACCATTCGGTGTATGTTTACACAGAAGTAAGTCTCCCAGAGTCCAGTGACACTTGCCCTAAACTGAGCGTGCATAAGAATGGATCTTAGGCTGCATAAATACACCATACATTTAAAGCACCCCACCCCCCAAGGAATCCTGGGAACTGCAGCTTTTTAAGGATGCTGGGAATTGTAGCTCTATGAGGGGTAAACTACAGTTCCCAGGATTCCTTAGAAATAAATTTAACAGTGAATAATCTTAGACCTGTGTGATTGGGGATTATATAAATTTACTTCGTCTGATATACAGTATCTCATTTTCATATTTGAAGCTTAATTTCTAAAATTTACCAAGAGCCTCCCTTTAAACAAGTGGGCTAGTTATCAGTCCTCTGTCCGTTTTATCTGGTCTCTGCAAGCCCTAAGCTATAATCCAAGTGTGATAACTTTTAACCGGTTTCACTTGTAAAGAGAATAAAATGGCAAGTCAATGGCAAGGCATTCCAGCTTCACAAGAGACTTAGTAAGCCATGGAGCAGGCATGTCCAAAGTCTGTTTTGGGGGCCTAATTCGCTTGCCAGTTGCCCATGTGGAAGCTTATTTCCCAGGGTAAAATCTTTTAAAAAGCTCAACTTCAATCCAATAAAAAGCTCAACAACTTTGGTTGGCCCTCACACATGTTCACTTCATCAAATCTGGCCCTCTTTGAAAAAAGTTTGGACACCCCTGCCATGGAGCAAAGGCGAGAGGGGGAGATAGGGAGCTTGGCAGAATAGAAAGAGGAGCTGTGTTTCGGGGGGCATGGGTTGAGGAAGTGGGTGTGATATGAATCCTTGCCTGAATGGAAGATAAAGAGATGTGTGAGTATGAAGAAACTGCCCCAGTGAGGAGGTGTTGCCACCACAAGCAAGCGGGCAGGAGGCAGGCACAGCACCAGGTCCAAATCTGCCACCCTTCCCAGATTGCCGCTTGAGGTGGCTCCCTCAGAAAGGCTCATAGTAGTGCCAGCCATGTGGGTGGGGCTGATGGGAGTTGGAGTCCAATAACATATGAAGGGCCACAAGGTGTGCCAAATCTAGCCCTTGGGGAAGCCGTATGGCTGGGCCTTAAAAGTCTCCCTCACCATTCCAATTTTCCTGGAGAATTTGCACAACAAATTTTCACAGACAAAAACAGGACTGTTTCTCTAGGATTTCTATTCACGTGCCAAGGGTCACCGCAGAAGTTCAACCTGGCTGCTTCAGTGACTTCACAATACAGCACAAAGTCTCTACCACCTAAAAAAGAATCATCTTGACTTCTCTCACTCAAAATTTATTACGGGGCGCAATGAGTCAAATTCAATGTTAACGAAGACCCAAAAATAAAAGCCGCTGTCACACTTCTGGGAAGAGGAAGCCCTAATGAATAGGAAACACATTATTTGTTCCAGGACAATGAAGGGCAAAATTAGACTGAATGTCAAATGTGATTAAGTGTTTGCCTGGAGGCGCTTTTTTATGGCTGTTACTTCTGAAAGATGTTTTTTAAGTATCGTTGAAATTATTGTGTGGGAGGGGATAGCCTCTCACCACTATTTCCTTTGAAAGGGCTCCATAAAGAATAACGTAAATGTCCCTTATCAGCTCGCAGTACAGTGGTACCTTGGGTTAAGAACTTAATACGTTCTGGAGGTCCGTTCTTAACCTGAAACTGTTCTTAACCTGAGACACCACTTTAGCTAATGCGGGCCTCCTGCTGCCGCCACGCCGCCGGGGCACAATTTCTGTTCTCATCCTGAAGCAAAGTTCTTAACCCGAGGTACTATTTCTGGGTTAGTGGAGTCTGTAACCTGAAGTGTCTGTAACCCGAGGTACCACTGTACTTGGAAGGCTGGGAGCTGAATGTGGGATCCAAGGGACAGTCCCCTGCCTTGCACCTGCCTGAAGTGCTGTTGCCCGGCTAGTATGTGTCCTTGAACTGTGTCTTAACCTGGAGACCTGACCCACTCAGGGCCTCAGCCAATTAGATTTGAGAGTGATCAGGGAGAAACAAGTCACTTGCGAAAGAATATAGAAGTAATTAAATGCAAGGATGGCAAACAGATGCAGTGAGTAGATGCAACACAAGCAAAAGAAAGCTTGCACTCGTCCCTTAGTGGTTGCTACTCTCACAACTAGGAGCATGCAACATGTCTAAGAAAACTCCTGCCCTAGAGCGGTGTCTGCTACGCCTTGGAAACCTGCATAATTACTAAGTGATGTGCACAATCTTTACACATAATAAATCTACTTACTTTACAGAATTACTGCAAGCATTGCTCAGACAATGTATTCTAGGCAACCCAAAACAGGTAGTGTTAGGCAGGCATTTTTTCACTTAAGACTTCTTCCGTGGTGGCTGTCGCCCATTGGGTCTGGTGGGGCACAAAGCAAGGTCAGTGGTAGGTGGAGTCAAAGCTAATGCCAGGCAAAGCCAGAGCCCATGACAGGCAGCACCAACTAAGGCAAGATTTGACCCACTCTCCACCCTGCTGAGTTCTAATAGGGCAACAGAGAGGCTAAAAGAAGAAGCAGCTGATGGTGAGGGTTATCCTCTGGACAGGTCGTAAGTTGTAAGTCCGGAAGGCTTGGGGGAATCAAGACTAAGGTTGGTGGGACAGCACCTCCTTTCCCCTAATGGACCAGCCTCCACTGAATTCTTTTTAGACCAGGCTCTCCCAATCTGGTGCCTCCCAGATGTTTTTGACTACAGCTCCCATCAGCCCCAGCAAGCACTGGCTGGGGCTGATGGGAGTTGTAGTCCAAAACATCTGTGTGGGGGGGGAGGGTACTAGTTAAGACTCTGGACTCCATTATCTCTCTGGGCCCCTCTTCAGCTGGTAAAGTGCATTATTTCAAAATGTGGCAAGCCAGCCCTGCTGTATTTGGGGGGGCTCAGCCTCCTGCACATCCTGCTGTGTGGGGGGCCTTGACCTCTGCCCCAATCCGGATCGGGGGCGGGAAATCTGTGGCCCTCTCCAGCTGGTGTAGGACTTCCATTTCCCATTAGCCACAGCCAGCGTGGCCAATGGTCGCAGCTGGTCGGAGGAGAAATCCGACAACATCTAGACGGCCACAGGTTCACCCCCCTCACCCCCACGCCAAGCACTTCTATATATGCTCTTTGCTTGTGGGATCTTTGCTTCTCGTTGAGTGGTCGCGGGCTGCCAGATGGGGGCCAGGACCCCTTCTCTTCCGTTTCCCGCAACCGTACTCCTCCTCTCTGCCCCTCACTCATCCCCCAACAGCGTTTTGCTGGGGGAAGTAGACCCCACCCCCGGGGGCGTGGTGAATGCCCCCCCCCCCGTGATCCCAGCTTCTTTTTTTGCAGCCTGGAAGGGGGGAATGGGTGGAGTCGACGAGCCGGGTTTCCTGAGAGGAAGTGACCCAAGGCTGCTGGAATGCCAGCCTGGCCCCGCGGCGGGTGCTGCTGCTGCTGCGCGCCTCTCGCTCTCTCCGCCGCGCGCCGCCTGCTCCTGAGAAGCCCCACCGGAGGCAGAGGCGGAGGGAGAGGTGGGCCGCGGCGTGGCCGAGACGATGCCGCACTTCACCGTCGTGCCGGTGGAGGACAAGCACCGGACGGACTACGACAACTTGGAAGGACTCAGCTGGGTGGATTACAGCGAGCCCGGCGACGGGGCGCGCCGCGCTTCCCACCAGCGCGATGCCTACGACACGGTCAGCTCCGACGGTGAGTGGAGGGAAAGTTGGGCCGACGGCTGCAAAGTTGGCTGGCGTGTTGTGGGTGTGTGCGTGGCGGCGGCGGCGGCGGCAGCGACCTCTCCCTCCCCTTCCCTCCAGTCGCCTTTCTCTCTCTCTCTCTCTCTCGATATCGCTTTTGTGTCCCGTTACTTCTGGTGGGAGGGAGCAGGTGGAGCTCGCGGAGAAAAGGTCCCTGAGCATGCGAAGAGTTCCAGAGCCGCTCTCCACTAAGGCTGAGGAGAGAGGCGTTTCTCAGGGCGTGTGCAGAGTAACGGAGGAGGGGTGTCTCTGAGCATGTGGAGAGTGGTGGGGGCGGCTCCGCCTTGTGTTCTCAGCTCTTCAGCGACTGCCGGGAAGGAAACTGCAGTGTGGGGCTCTTCAGGTGTTTCTGGATTCCTGATAGGCATTGGCAGTCCAAAAACATCTGGAGGGGCCATACCTTCCTGATCCCTGCGGAGGAGAAAATGTGTGTCTCGTGAGTGTGTGCAGAACGGCAGTGAGATGCCTTTGCCTTGTAGCTAACTCCCAGGTCTAATCTGTGCCATTGTGGTTGTTTAGTGCGTCCGACTCTTCGTGATCCCATGGACCAGAGCACGCCAGGCACTCCTGTCTTCAATCTGTGCCATACAGACCCTTTTTCTTTTGACCACCCTGGACAATTGGGCATCATCAGGAAACTTGACCTCCCTCGCTGCTCACTCTTCATGCTAGGTTGTTTATGATCAAGTTAAGAAGGCTATTATTTTTAGCATTAGACTTTTAGACCACTCTTCATCCTACAATCTCAGGGCATTGTAGAAACAACAGAAGACAAATGACAAAGGGGCATGTTCAGAGAGGGGCAGTAAGGATGGTGAGTGGCCTGGAAAGCAGGTCCTATGAGGAAAAGCTGGGTATGTTCAGCCTAGCTCAGAGAAGGTCTAGAGCAGGGTTTCCCAAACTTGGGTCCTCAGCTGTTTTTGAACTGCAGTTTCCATCATCCCTGACCACTGGTCTTGCTAGCTAGGAATGATGGGAGTTGTAGGAAGGCATGATAGCTGTCCTTGAATATCTGAAGGGTTGTTGTGCATATGCTGGAACAGGCTGGTTCCCTGTAGCTCCAGGATGCACTAGATGGACTTTAGACCTCATGCGGCAGGGCTTCTTGTAATGCTCTTATCTGTTGTGGTTAATAGATATCTGCTGGTAGACATATGCTTGGCAGAAGGCTAGGTTTGGAAAGTGACAGGATGAAAAAGCCAATTAAATATTTGTACCTTCCAAGAGAGGAGGAGTTTTAGCTCATGCATCTTAACGCTGTGACAAGTGACCTCCCACTTCCACACACCTGTGTCAAAGCAGGTTTGGCCCTCCAGATGTTGTTGGACTCCACCCGGCCATATAAAATCATGCTTTGGGTGGACTTGGTCTTATAAATATTGAAGTAAATAAAATGTGCCTATTATATCTGTATCCTGTTCTTTCCCTCTGCCCTATCCAGGATGCCCAGAGTGGAGTTCTCTTGCAACACTGAGGTAGGCATAGTGACATACTGTAGGGGAGGCCAGGCCACTTGGCAGCTTTCTAGACAACCAGGGGTTTGAACCCTGGTTTCTCATTTCCAGTGTAGTTTAACAACCAGTCACTCTTCCCAGGGAACTCTGAGGGGATTGTAGCTCTGTGGGGGGAACAGGAGTCTCCTAACAATTCTCAGTATCCTTAACAAACTACAGTTCCCTGGATTCTATGGGGGAAGCCACGACTGTTTATAGTGCTATGATGCTGCTCTAAATGCATAGGGCAGATGGGGCCTTATTTCCAGACCAAACAGAATCTGGCATCTGTCTTTCTTGAAATGAAGCACTGATCTGATGGGCTATGCAGTTCCTTTCTGTCTGCTCTTCTTTACTATACAGTTCCGTTAATCTGTAATGTTCCACAAAGTTTCACTCCTTAAAATGAAGAACAGCTGGGATGTGTACAAATATGAGAAAATCCTAAAAACACCAGAGAGTCAGCCTCTTTGAACGCTCAGTGGGACTTACCGTATGTTTTGTGGAAATACTTCCCAGGTTCAAAAAAAAAAAAAAAAAAAGCCAAGGGAACTGCTAACTATTTTGGAGACTCCTAAATCTAAAAAGGCCGTGTGTATGCCAGAGGGGGTTTCCTTCTAAAGTTCCTCCCCACTCCCTCATTCTTCTGATTCTTCCTTCTCCATGGAAATAGCCAAAAGGCTCAAAGTGCTTTCACCCACCCTGCCACTTCAATTCACATTTTCATGAATAGGGAGCCTGTTGATGTTGGAGTGGAAGAGCCATGTTAGTCATAAGGCCTCAGCCCTTTTTTTCAGATGCCTTAGGAAATGATCTCAAGAACTCTCCCCTAATAGGGTGGCACTGTCTTATTACAGGGAAATGCAACGGAATGGTTACAGCTGTCTTCTCCACCCTGATGTCCTCCGAGTCCATTGGCCATGCTGGCTAGAGCTGATGAGAGTTGTAGTCCAAAGCATTCAGAGGGCCGCAAGGGTGGTGAAGGTTGGTTTTATATGACCAGAGTTACTATCTTAATCATTGGGAGTCAGAAGGAAATGCTTTCTTGTTTCAGACACCTGTTTAAAATGGTCATTTTTGGTATGCATTGATTTAAATGTAATGCAGCTCCAGGGAGTCTTCATGACGTGCATCTTCTGCAACCAAACCAATCATGGTTCAGAGTAGGGTTCAGGAGTGGAGCTGCTTTGATTGATTTAATTGGCTAATGATATTCACCTAAAGTCGGGTGTGAGGCTGCTCAGCTGCATTTGATGATGTAAATCAGGCTTGCAGCATCTATGTTGTAGTCTTTTACTAGGACACCAGGGGCCACCAATCAGAACCAGGTGCAAAATGAGTCCAGTTAGTGTACGTGGGGCCATGCAGTGGAGTGACCTGTGTTCAGAGCAGCGATGTCTAATGGGCAGAATGAGGGTAAGAACTTAATCTTGTAACCCTTGATCTGGATAGCCTTTTGTACTGGGTATTGCAGTGACACAGGGGGTTAGAATGTTGAGATAGGGATTTGGGTTCAGATTTTCCCACATGGCCATGAAGTTTGTTGTGTGAGCATTGGTCTGCAAAACACTCAAAGCCTAACCTACCTCAACAGGTGTTTTTTTAACTTCGGTTTTATTGCATAACATATATTGTAAATCTGTTTGAGACTTTTTAGTATGAAGTAATATCCAAGTCTAATACTATTGCAAATTGTTTTAGGACATTGTATTATATTGTGGGAACCAATTTATCAGTTCAATAAACTCAGGGTTGTGGTCAGCTAAGTCCTACAGAGAGTAGTAGACCCAGTAAAAATAACCATCCAAGTTAGTTGTTTCTATTGGCTTTTCTGGGTCTATTCTGAGCAGGACTATTGTTGAGTACCAAAGTAACCAGTCAGTCAGTCAGTCAGTCATTCAAGGTGGAGCTATAAGGAGAACCATGCACGCTGCCTTAGGAAGATAGGAAGCTGCCTTACACTGAATGAGACCATTGGTCCATCTAGCTCCATATTGTCTACACTGATTGGTAGTGGCTCCCCAGAGTTTCAGACAGGAGCTTCTCCCAGCTCTGCCTGGAGATGCTGGGGATTGAACCTGCAACCTTCTGAACTGTGGTCCTTCCTACAGTCTTAAGCTCCTTGGAAGAATAAGTCTAATAATTTATTTATTTTTAAAGAAATGCTTGGGGTTATATCTAAAGGTTGTCCATAAGCTTCAATTTATGCAGGACTCTCTGCCACTGGTCTTCTGGCAGTCTTAACTCAGCTGGTTTCTTATTTAGCTTGGTGCCGTCAGACATTTGGTTTGGATGCAGATCAGCAGAACATAAGTGTGCCCATTTGCTGAAGCTTGGGCGGTGGTAGCCTTTTCAACAAGTACTTGGTAAACTGCAAAGTTGGAAGCATTTAGTCGAAGGCTGCTCACTACAGGCCTAGTGAGCGGCTATTTTAATGGGTGGAGGAAACATCAGGGAACTGCTTCAGCTTGTTTTTAAAAGTCAGGCTGTCCAGGATTTTTTAAAAAAACGACAGATCATGTTTTAAAAGCACTTGTGTGAAATTCTGAGGCTGCAGAAGGGTTGGCAATTGTAAAAATATATATTTAGTTATTTGTTGTTTTTGTTTTTCCTGTGCTCAAGATTTCAGCCTGTGATGCTGCAAGTTCCTGTTCAGATTTATATGAACATTTGCCTTACACAACTTAAGGGTATTTGCTTCATCTGGCCGATTACTTTTCTGCTGTTTAGCAATGGATCTCCAATGAAAGGGCTGTGCCGCAGTGGTGGAGCATCTGTTTTGACTGCAGCAGGCCTCAGGTTCAATCCCCAGCATCTCATAAGAACATAAAAAAGCCTGCTGGATCAGGCCAGTGATCCATCTAGTCCAGCATCCTGCTCTCTCAGGGGCCAACTGGATGCCTGTGGGATGCATGCAGTCAGGACCTGAGCGCAAGAGCATTCTCCTCCTCTAGCGGTTTCCAGCAGAGCCATTCCCCATCAGTGTACATGAACTAGATGGACCAATGATCTGATTCAGCATGTGGTTGATTC